CCTGAGCTTCCTGCCTCCCACGCTGGCTCTTCTCACCTTCCCCCGCGTTTCACATCAGAGGGAAAGGGATGTGGAGGAGCCACTGAATGCCCTTCATCGGAAGGAGAGTCCTGGGAGGGAGCGGGGAGGGAGCCAGGAGGGAGCGGAGGGGGTGTGAGGGGGGAGAGGGAAGGTAGGGAGTAAAGGAGGGGGAAGGGAGGGGCAGGAGGTCTGACAGCCATCCCACTCGGGCCAGTTATGAGCCCCAAATGCAAAATGCTAGGGGAGTCCTAGCTAGTTTGGCTCAGTGGATAGAGCATCCGCCTGGGGACTGAGGGTCCAGGGTTTGATTCCTGGACAGGGCACATGCCTGGGTTGTGGGTTCGATCCTTTCCTCTCTGAAATCAATAAAAAAAATTTTTTTTAAATGCAAAGGGAGCTTCTGAGACAAAAAGTCACCCCCACGTGATGCGGGGCCGTGTCCACAGGAGAACGAGTCTCCAGTGAACACAGAACAGGAACCGAGTAAGAGCATCAGGCCCCGGAGCGGGCGGCTTCCAGCACACACCCCGTCTCCTGCAGAAAACCACCTGCCCCCGATGGCCCCTAAGAGCCTCCTCCCGCCCAGGGGTCACGGCCCAGGGGTAACCTCTGAGATCCGGGCCTCAGGTTCCAGCGAACTTTCTCCTGCGCTCACGCCATCGGAAACAGCCTGCCCCACAAACAGCTCCTCCCCCCCCCCCCAATCGCGGGGAATTCGAGAATCCGCGTGTCCCACCGGCTTCCCACACGGTGCTTCCTGCAACCCCATCGCACACGCCCTCGGCCCCCAGCCCGCCGCCTGCACACCCAGAGGCCGTGGTTGAACTCACTCCACAGACAAGGTCACTTTAAGCCACAACTGGCACCCCAAAAACAGCGGGGGGGGGGGGGCACTGGGACGTGTGTAACCTCGATCCCAGGCCACACGCTCTGGCCAGCTCCCAAGCGAGCTCGCTGCTCGGTCAGGCGTCACGTGAATCACCCCTAACGGCCAGCCCCACGATCCCACGGGCCTTCTCCGCTGCAGCCCGGACCTGCCCCCGTCCCCCTCCCCCGCTCTCAGCCTCCGTGTCCCCCGGGCCCCCTGGCGCCCGCTGGCACAGCCAGGCGAGGCTGGTCACTCACCGGGGAGCGGGGCTGGCCGGGAGGGAGCAGGGCCTTGGTGGGGCTGGACCAGGGCCCGGAGCCGCGGCCTGCGGAGCACTCAGCCCCTCTGCGTCTCAGGTGTCCGGGCTGTAAGACGAGGAAGCTGCCGCCCCACGTCCTGGCTCTGGTGTCTCAGGAGCCAGAGCGGGGGGAGCACCAGGCCTCAGCCGCCGGCGGAGCAGCTCCCCCAGGTCCTCGGGGGGGACCCCCCAAGCCCAGCCTGGCGCTGGCCGCTCCCCGAATGCTTCTCTCTCGGCCGAGGCCGGCTGCCCGGCCCCTCCCCAGGCGGCCGCCTCCTCCAGCTGCCGGCTGCGGACTCCGGACGTGGGGCCGGGCCAGACAGCTCGCACCGCGGCCCCGCCCTCCAGGGTCCGGCTCCCAGGCGGCCTCCCAGCTCCACACGTCCGGGGCCAGATCGTGGGCGATGTGTCCGTGAAGGGCGCTCCAAGCGGGTGTCCCACCGCCGGCCGGCTCCCACGCCCGCACCGGCCGCCCTCCGCCCACAGATGGCAGGGTTCAGCCTTTCAGCGCCACTGCGGGCGAGAGGTTAACCCCAAAGCCCGGCTTTGCCAAGGAGGGGACATCCCCCATGGGTGCCCGGGCCCCGCCTCGCTGAGGACACAGTGTCCCCCGGAGGCCCGGGGAGCGGCTCACCCAGGGGTGGGCGGGAGCCCAGAGGGGAGGGGAGGGGAGGGGCTCATCCCAAGGAGCCCAGGGCAGACGCCAACGAACTCCAGCAAGTTCATGGTCACAGCCCAAGCGTGTGCCAGCAGCCTGCCTTCACGGCAATGCGCGAGCATCGTTCCCACGGCGATGATGACTGATGATAAACATAATCACCCTGGTCTGTACGTGCTCACACGTGGCAGGTAGGCAGAAGCAAAGCTTCTGTGCATATTACTTTGTGATTTTTTAAATATGTAGTTTGATTTCAGAGAGAGGAAGGGAGAGGGAGAGAGGGAGAGAGAGAGAAACATCCGTGATGAGAGAGAATCATGGACTGGCCACCTCCTGCACGCCCCCTACGGGGGACTGAGCCTGCAAACCCAGGCCTGTGCCCTTGACCTGGAATCTTACCACTGAGCCACACGGCCGGACACGCATGTTGTTTGTATATAATCTCCATAGTAGCTCCACGCAGCGGACACACGTTACACAGGCCGTGGTGGGCCTCTGGTCCCTGCCTGTCTCTCAGGATGGAAGCCACCCGCACCGAGAGGTACCGGTGAATTATTCAGCGGTGCCAGGCGGGCCTCGGGTGCCGGCGTATCAGGTGCCGGGGACCGAGCGCTGAGTCGGCGAGCCTATCGGTCCAGGGGGACGCAGAGTTCTCTGTCCGGAGGCCGGACCCACTCGGCTGGGAAGACCGCCGACACGCGTCTGAGCACCACGCCTGGACGAGCATGCGAATCCCCACCCACCCGTGTCTCTGTGGGCTCGAGGTCGGGCGAGGCGCTCGGTGGGGTGACAGACGGAGAGGGGCAGAGGTCAGACGCAGGAACGGCTCTGTGCCGCTCCCCTGGGCCTCGGCATTTCCTCCTCTGGCTTAGCTGCCGGGGGTTCTGATTCAGCACCTCCAATATTGAAATAGCAGCGGCCATGTGTATGACGCACTCACCACTCACCAGGCCTGCGATCTCCCCATTGCACAGGCCTGGAGACTGAGGCTGTGCCCGCCCGGGGCCCGGCCGTGGTGGGAGCCTCTGGGAGGAGCAGGCCTGTCCTGGCTCACTCCCCCGCCTCCGGCCCCTCCCCTACGCCCCCCATTCCCCAGAAGAAACTGCTCCCGGTGGAGGCCTGTCTGAGCCGCAGCCTGTCACGGCCCCATATTCCCCAAAAGGACGTTTAAAGTGACAGGAGCGGCTGATAGAGAATCAACCCCGATGGCCTCTGAGCGGAGCCCAGCCGCCAGCTCTGTCTGCTGAGCGGACACCACGGCTGCCTCTCCTTCGCTGGAATTCCCTCAGCTGCGCCTCCTCCAGGCCTGCCCTGCAGCTCCAGGCGGGCGCGGGGTGAGTGGAGGAGGAGGAGGGGAGAAGGAAGAGGCAGGCCGAGTGGGAAGAAGGCGTGGGGGGATAGGGAGTGAGGAGCAGGCCTGCTCCTCCTGGTCCCTCCGGCTCCCGGCTCCTGGCCCCCGGCTCCCAGCTCCCGGCTCCTGGCTCCAGGCCCCCAGTTCCTGGCTCCCAGCTCCCGGCCCCCAGTTCCCGGCTCCTGGCTCCCAGGGCTGGCCAGGCCCCAGCGGCTGTCCTCGGCTCCCCCCCTCCCCTCCGTCACCTTTTCACCCACCTCCCCACCGCCCGCAGGAGCCGGCCCGCCCGCGTCCACACAGACGCTGGGCACCTGGGAGCCGTCCATCCTCTCAACAGGCACTGATCTCGGAAGAGGACATTTTCCAACCATTTTCCCAAGTGGGAAGGAAAACCCTTTTATTTACTTATTAAATATGTTTTTATTGACCTCAAAGAGGAACCACTGGGTGACTGAAGTTCAGTGGCACCTGCACCAGGGTGACAACTGCTGTTTGAACTTTAACCGCTATTCCGGCTCCTGCACCTGCTTAAACAGCTGCCTCAGCTTCCAGATGGAGACGGAGGCTGAGGCAGTTTCCCTGTGCCCGTGGCCCAGGACCACAGGAGATCGGTTCCCACTGACTCAGCAGCTCCAGGAGCAGAAACTGCAGACAACCTTTAGAGATTAACCACTGAGCTCTGCTTCTGTACTGTCTGCTTTTGCAAGAGAGGTCTGTCCGCATTCCAACGTCCAGCAGGATGTGGCTGGGGACGACCCTGCGGGCTGTTCCCGGCCTTTAGAATTTAGAATTCAGAACAAAGGAAAATTCCTGGGGTTTGGACCTTTAAAAGGACTGCCTACACCTGGAACGGGGCCGTGAGTGTGCCCACCTGCGTGTGGTGCTCTCGCGGCCGTCCTGGCCAGTTCAATAAATCCTGCCTGCTTTTTTTAAATCAATCATTAGCCTCTGGTGGTCTTATTTTGAACCCAGGGTTCGACCCCACAAGAACCATGACCTTCTGGAATGGACAGAAGAGGGGACTCGCAGTGGCCTCCCCTCCCCTGTACGCCTTCCTGTACCTCACACCGCCGTCACGTCCACGGACATACAGTCCTGGAACGGAGAGCTGAGCCCCTCCCGCTGGCCCGTCCTCCAGGGAGGGGCCCCCTGAGCACGCTCCCCGCTCTGACGGGATGTCCAGGTCCTCACCAGCGAGGCGGGGGATGACACGCCGAGTCCGCACAGAGCCCGTGTGCCCGAGGCTCAGACCTGTGTCTCCCCCAGAGCGCCGCCTCGGCCGGAGGGAGGACATGGGCTCGTGGGGCCGGAGGCAGCTGCCGGGTGGGGTGCCGGGCGGAGGGAGGAGCAGGTGACGGGCATTCCTTCAGCCCGAACCCAAGCCGCCTCGTCTGCCAAACGCCGGCAGCTGTGCGGGCGGGTCTGCCAGCCGGGCAGGTACTAAAGTCCAGCCCCGCCTGCTCATGCACATCACGTGTGCACGCACATGCACATGCAGGCACACACGCATACACGTGCACACACACGGCCGGAGCAGCTCTCGCTGCACTCTGAGGCGGCAGGCACCAGCCACGGTCCAGCCCTCCACGGCCCTCCAGCCCCGTGTCTCAGCCCCGCACGCCGGCACCGGCTGCACTAACACGTGCTCTGCCTGCAGGAGGAAGCGCGTCTCCTCCCGTCCCTGTTGAAAGCCCGGGTCCCGGTTAGAGCCGTGAGCGACTACGGCCCCCCAATCCCGCGGGAACCGAATGGCTCGGCCGCCGTCGGCTGAGGAGGCGGACCCCCAGGCCGGGGCACACAGGACTCAGACCCTGAAACGGAGGCGGCCGTCGAAGGGCGCCCGGCCAGCCAGCAGCCCGCGCCTGCGAATCTGTCTGTCGGCGAGGCCAAGGACACGGAAAGAGGCGGGAGGGAGGCGTGCCCAGTGGCCCCCATGCCCCACCCCTGCTCCCACGTTCCCCCACGCTCAGCCATCCCCGGCAGCAAGCAAGGCCTCTGCGCCCGCGGCCGGCAAACTCATCAGCCCGCAGAGCCAAACATTAACAACACGGACATGTCTTTGGAGAGCCCAATTCTTTAAACTTAAACTTCCAACGCCACGTCTTCCAAATAGACTGGCCCAGGCCGTGGTGTTTTGTGGAAAAGCCACACGCAAGGGGCCGAAGAGCCGCATGTGGCTCGCGAGCCGCAGTTTGCCGACCACGGGCGCAGACGCTCAGAGATGGAGAGCTAGCTCCTCCCGCCCGCCCGTCTCCGTGACAGACAGACTGACAGACAGACAGAGCGCGGAGGAACGGGGAGGCCAAGGCCCTCCCCAGAGCCGGCTCTGCACTTACCTCTGCTCGCGGGCGGCCTCCGGGGCCGGGCGGGCGTCCCCGGCTTCTTCGGGCTCTGGCGCTGAGGTGGCGCCTGCCGTCCGGGCCCCCTGGGGAGTGGGCCCCTCGGAGCTGCCTGGGCCACCAGGCGGTCCCCAGGCGGCAGCCGTTCCAGAGGGCACGCTCCTGGCACCGGCTCCGGTCTCAGCTGTGCCCAGAGCCGCGGCGCCCTCTGGCTCCCCGGCACCTCCTGCCGCCGGGCCGGGCTCCGGGGCGGCCTTGGCCCCGGGCAGAGCATCGCCACAGGGAGGACGGGCCCCCAGGGCAGAGGTGGGCGAGGGCAGGTCCCCGGGAGCTCCTGGCAGGGCAGGGCCCTGGGCGCCCTCTGCCTGAGGCCGGTGCTGTCCTCCAGCGGGAATTCTGTCGTCCGGGTCCGAGTCCCCTTCCCCGAGGCTCCAGACGGCTGCCTGCGGGCCAGCAGCTTCCTCCACCGGGGCCTCCTGCCGGCCGCTGCCCCCCTCCGGCCGCTCATTGTCCTTAGGCACCAGCGGGCGCCCAGCCACTGCCTCGCCGGCCCGGGCACCGGACGGGTCCTGCCCCATGCCCGTCCCTGCTGGCCGGGGCGGCGGCTCTGCGGCCGGATCCTGGGGGACCGGGTGGGAGGCCTCGGCCTCGGCCAGCGCCTGCTCCGGCTTCTCTGCGTCCGCGCGGAGGCCGGCGGGCGGGGCGGGGACAGGGGCCGGGGCCGCGGCTGGAGTCCCATCCGGAAGCTTCCCTGGGCTCAGCAGCCCGTCGAGGTGCTTGCCGCCCCCGCTCCTGGGGGCCCCCGCCCTGTCCCCAGGGGCAGGTGGGCGCTGGGGCCGGTCGGCTGGGGCTCCGCGCACGGACGCCTCGAAGATCTTGGTGATGTGCTCCCTGAAGTCCGGGAGCCCGGGGGCGGGGCCGCTCTGCCGGGGGCTGGCGGGGTCCCGGGGGGGCCCCCCCGGCCGGGACCCCCCGTGCTCCGGGGCCCGCTCACTGCCGGGGCTCCCGGGGCCCGCGGGGGGCGGGGGGCCGGCGCCCGGAGCTGCGCGCCCCTCCCCCGTCCTCTGCGCGCCGCGGGCGGGGGGCGGCGTGCTGGCCAGGGGCCCCGCGGGCGGGAGCCGCTCTGGGCTGGGAACAGCCTGGGCCACGGGAGCATCCACGGTGCTGTTCACGGGAGCGTCCACCTGGGCCATGGGAGCGTCCACGGTGCTGTTCCCGGGAGCGTCCACCTGGGCCATGGGAGTGTCCGCCTGGGCCATCGGAGTGTCCGCCTGGGCCATCGGAGTGTCTGCCTGAGCCTGGGCCACAGGAGCGTCCACGCTACTGGCCATAGGAGTGTCCGCCTGGGCCTGGGCCTGGGACACAGGAGTGTCTACCTGGGCCATGGGAGCGTTCATGGTGCTGTTCATGGGAGTGTCCACCTGGGCCACGAGAGTGTCCACCTGGGCCTGGGCCACGAGAGCATTCATGGTGCTGTTCATGGGAGCGTCCACAGTGCTGGCCATGGGAGTGTCCACCTGGGCCTGGGCCACGGGAGCGTCCACGGTGCTGGCCACGGGAGTGTCCACCTGGGCCTGGGCCACGAGAGCATTCATGGTGCTGTTCATGGGAGCGTCCACGGTGCTGGTCATGGGAGTGTCCACCTGGGCCTGGGCCACGGGAGCGACCACGGTTCTGTTCATGGGAGTCCCCACCTGGGCCATGGGAGCATTCATGGTGCTGTTCATGGGAGCGTCCACGGTGCTGGCCACGGGAGTGTCCACCTGGGCCTGGGCCACGGGAGCGTCCACGGTGCTGGCCATGGGAGTGTCTACCTGGGCCACGGTAGTGTCCACCTGGGCCGTGGGAGTGTCTACCTGGGCCACGGTAGTGTCCACCTGGGCCGTGGGAGTGTCCACCGGGGCCGTGGGAGTGTCCACCTGGGCCACGGTAGTGTCCATGGTGCTGGCAGAGGGCAGCTCGGCGTGGCTGGCTTCGCGCGGGGCAGGGGCAGGAGCCTGCTCCCCAGGGCAGGGCGGCTGCTCAGGCTGAAGGGTGCCACTGCTCAGAGCGCCCCCTCCTGGCTGGTCTGGAGGCCGCTGCGTCCCTGGGTCCCCTCTGTCAGCGCCCCCAGCGGCCGGGGCAGCCGCACCGTCCACACCCGGCTCCTCCGCAGGCGGGCGGCGTCCGGGCCGGCCCGGGGCCTCTGCGTCCGCCTCCTCCGGCCGTGGGGCGCCGTCCCGGGCTTCACCCCCCACTGCCCTCTCCGGGGCGCCCCCTGTGGGTGCGGGGCCGGGGCGGGCGGGCGCTGCACCCCCCGGAGCTCCTGAGTCAGGGCCAGGAGGCGGGCTGCCCGCCGAGTCCGCACTTGTCCCGGGTGCTGTGCCCGCGCCCTGGCCCGGGGGCCGGGCCTCCGCGGCTGCAGACTCGCCCGCGCCGCCCGGACACGCTGCTCCGCGCCGGCTGCCAGCCTCGGCCTGCTGTGCGCCCGGCTCCTGCTCTGCCCGCTCCGCCCCCGGGCTCTCCGGCTCCGAGTCCCTGGGGCCTGAACGCGGGGCGCCGGGCAGCTCCGACGTGGGGGCCGGCCCCTCTGCTGGGCGGGCGGACGAGCTGGCATCCTCCTGCAGTGCCCGGGGCACGGGGACCTGGGGCCGGGCCGCAGCCAGGACCGCATGGCCCGGGTCCCCCTGAGAGGCCTCGCCCCCACAGCCACCCGGCCGAGCCTCCTCCCCGGGCTCCGCAGAGGCAGCGGCGTTAGGCCCGGGCCGGCCTGGCTGCCGGGGGGCTCCCGGGGGCCCCAGCCGGGCCGGGCTGTCCTGCTGGCTGTGCCCCGGAACCAGGAGCAGGTCCGTAGCCCCGCTCTCCCCGTTGGGGGGCTGTGGCCCAGCGGCTGGGGCCCCCCGTCCGGCCGCCTCGGGCCCCGGGGCGGGGGGTGGAGGGCCCGGTGCCCCACAGGCCGCCGAGCTGCGAGCTGCGGCCGCTGACGGAGACCCCGGCCTGTCCGAGGGCCCGGGACCGCGCTGGCCGCGGGGCCGAGCGGAGGCCGTGCCGGCGAGGAGCTGGCCCCCGTCACCGGTCACCGGGGAGGCCTCCTCCTTCTCTGTCTCCGAGTCAGGCCTGCGGCCGAGGGCCTGGGGCTGCACTCCCCCCAGGCCCCTGGGACGTGCCCCGCCAGGAGGCTCCGGGCCCGGCTCGTCTCCCCCAGGCTCGGCCCCAGGCGGTCTGCCTCCCCGCTCAGCCGCCCCTGGGCCCTCGGGGGCCGTGGCCTCGTTCCGTGGCCCCGGGGACTGGCTGGCGCCTTCATCAGATGCCCTGGGGGGCGGGGGCGGCGCCCCCTGCTGGGCTTCGGGGCTCGGCTCCGGGTCCAAGGGCCCCCCAGTGTCCCCCTGTGGCGCACGGGCAGGGCCGTCCCCCACGCCTCTGAGACCCGCCGGGGGCTCCCGTCTGGTTGGCCCCGCGTCTGCGGGCTCTTTGGCTGAATCCGTCAGCGCGGGCACGTCGGGGCCGGACGCTGTCTCCTCTGGGGGCACGGGGGCCCGGGCGGCGGGCGGCACCGGGGGCCGTGGCTCCCGGGTGCCCACCAGCAGAGCCCCCTCGGGTGGGCCCCCCGTGGCCATGCCGACGGCGTCACGGGGCGAGGCTCCGGGAGCCTGTGTCTTCGCGGGGCACTGAGCGTCGCTGCCATCTACCGTCTCCGCCTCCGGCCCTGAGCCCCCGGCCCCCGGCGCCCCCTCCATCCGCCCTCCGGGGGGCGCTGCCCACAGTCCTGGCGCCTGATCGCTGGAACCCAGGGAGGCCAACGCTGACTCTGACTCCGGCCGCTCCTCCTCCAGGCCGCTCTCCCCTCCGGCCCCCGGGCCAGAGGCAGCCGCCCCGAGCAGGGCAGGGCCGCCCCCCGGAGGGGCGGGCACCGGGGCGTCTCCCCGGGCACCGGGAGAAGGCTGAATCGCAGGGCGCTGGGCGGGGAGCTGGGCGGGGGGCAGGGCGGGGGGCAGGGCGGGGGGCTGGACGGGGGGCTGGGCAGGGGGCTGGGCGGGGGCTGGACGGGGGGCCAGTCCCCAGGCGCCGCGGGGGGGCTGCGGGCGTGAGCTTCGGGGGGGCCCTCGGCCCGGAGCACGGAGCAGGCGGCGCCCTCTGTCTCCTGGGGCGCTGGCCGGGGAGAGCCGCGGGGGCCCCCGGCGTTCTGGGGGTGCTTTCTCGGCTCCGTCACCTCCGGAAACAGGACGCCCGGGTCCAGGCCGGCCGCGCCCTCAGGGGCGGTGCAGGGGGCTCCGTGCGCGAGGCTGCCGACGGGAACAGGTCACGGTCACCGGGTCTCGTGGACGCCGAGGACGGCCCAGCACGCAGGCAGAGCCGCCCCGATGGCCCCCCGAGGCCCCCACGCACCCACTCCTCCCCCCAGAGGACCCCACCCTTCCCATGACCACTGCACGTGGCATCTCCTTCCCCAAAATCAGCCCGGGGCCCGGCCGGCGTGGCTCCGTGGTGGAGCGTTGACCTATGAACCAGGAGGTCAGGGTTCGATTCCGGGTCAGGGCACAGGCCTGGGGATGTGGGCTGGATCCCCGGTGTGGGGCGTGCAGGAGGCAGCCCATCCCTGATTCTTATCAATGTTTCTATCCCTCTCCTCCTCCCCCTTTCCCGTCCTCTCTGAAATCCATAAAAACATGGTTTTAAAAAGTAACCCCACGTTCTGCCTGGGGCTCTCAGCCGGTCGGTATGTACAGAAGCCTGGAAAGGAACCCATAAAAGCCTCACTCGCGCGCGAGACCCAGCAGCTTTCCGGTCCGTGTGGCCTGTAAGGAGGGCGGGGCCGGCCGGGGGCACGGCCAGGGCCTCAGTGTCGGGAGAGACCCGGGCAGTTGAGCTGGGAAACCCTCTGCTCCCGCTGGGCCCTCTCAGCACCCGGCTGGCGTGGGCCCCCTGACTCCGGAGCGAATCCCTGCGCTGTGTGTGCGGCCGCCCTCGGCCGGGCCCAGGGAGACACAGAGACGGTGCAGACACCTGGGCACGGGGCCCAGGACCCCGGACGCGGGCAAAGGCGGGCACCTGTGAGCCCGGGAGGATCCCTGATCCTCTCTCATCATTGACGTTTCTCTCCCTCTCCCTGCCTCTCTGAAATCAGTGAACTATATATATGTATTTATTTATATTTTAGCTGTTGAGGCCCCACTCCCCCGCCCCACATCCCCCCTGCAGTGCCGGGTGCCAGGCTCCACCGGGAAGGCCCGCCTCCGACAGGCCGCCCCCCTGGCTTCCCCGGACGGTGATGGCCGTGCTGACCCCTGACCCTGACCCCGGACCCCGGAATGCTCCATCCAGCCTTTGGCCCTCATTCCCTCTGGGTGCCCGGCAGCGCCACCTCCTGGGGGTGGGGTGAGACCCGCTGTGCTCGGAGGCTGTAAGGAGAGGCTGCCCGGGCCTGGCTGGAGGTACCCAGGAGGGAGAGGGGTCCCATGGGTGGGGCAGGGACGCAGGACAGCCTGACGCAGGCATCAGGGCCGCTGTGCTCCCGAGTGGACAGGGTGGGGAGGCCCTGACCAGCCTCCACCGGGTCTGGCCAATGCAGGGCTGAATGACAACAGCGACACCGTGTGGCCACTGGGAGGCAAGGCCGCCATCTGATGGGACTCCCTCAGCCAGTCCCACCTGCACATGGGGACTCCGGAGGGTCCTGGGCGGGTCAGAGGGAGGAGGCACCTTGGGGACCAGGACTGCCTGCCCCTGGGCCGGGCGGCCGGAGCTCCGATCCTGGCTCCCAGCAGAGGCGGCCAAGCCTGCGAGAGGGACGGGCGTGTCTCCCCGTCCTGTCCTCCTCCAGCCCCTGGGCCAGACCCCGGGCCTGAGGTTTCTCCCGGGAGCTTTACCAGCAGGAAGCAGACCTGTGAGGTCCGTGGCCCCTCCGGTCTCTGTACAAACCGGTGACACAGGGGGTCTCCCGCTCAAAAATCAGTGGTGTGCACACCATTCCTTCTCCCAGGTGGAACACTGGGATGAGGGACTGCTCAGAGTGGGCACGCTGTGGGGGACACTGCATCCTCTGGAGAGAGCGTGCTGGCTGAGGGGGGGTTGGGGGATGGCCTCCGAGGTGAGGGTGGTGATGAGGGGGGCCTGAGGGAAAGACGGGGGGGTGTCAGGGAGCCCCCACGCCCAGGGTGGCCTGGGCGCCGCACACCACAGGCCCGGTGGGCGGGGGGGCCGGACCAGGGGCCTCGCAGTGGTGAGGGAGGAGGGGCGAGGGGAGGGAGGGCCTCAGTGACCAGGTCAGGAGGGGGATCGAGGCCGGCTGACCCGGGCAGACCACAGCCGGGCTGAGCAGACTCAGAGCCGGAATGAACGGGGGAAGGAGAGGTTTGATTTTGTGCGGAGGACGATCTGGTGCTGTGTCCGGTGTCACCTGGGATGGATGTTCGAGCGATCGGCCGGCACCGAGGGCCCGCGCTCGCCCTCCGCCTGCGCCCCTGGCTCCCCAGGGCCCCGGAGCCGGCCCCTCGCCCTCGCTGAGGCAGTGGGTCCAGGCCCTGCACACAGACCCCGCGTTATGGGGAGCAGAGGCCTCTCGGAGGCACCCTGTGTGCTCAGCTCGGAGGCGGGCGACGCGTGTTCTTCCAGGAAACGTGGTGGTGAGGGAGCTGAGGATCGGGGCACCTCACTGACGCCGGCGGGGATGCTGGGCAGAGCTCCGGAAAGAGGGCCCCCTCCCCTCCCCGCCCCTCACCCTCAGTGCCTCAGTGAGGGCTCGGGGCAGGTGCCCAGGGGAGCCACTGGGCATGAGGTCATCTCTGACGTTGTTGACCCTCCCCCGAGGCTATGGTCCCACTGACTTTCAGAGAGAGCAGAAGGAGGGAGAGAGAGAGAGACATCCATGTGCGAAAGGCACATCAAGGGGTTGCCTCCTGCGTGCACCCCAATCGGGGCTGGGGGTGGACCTGCCACCAAGGTCTGTGCCCCTGAGTGGAATCGAACCCATGGCCCTTCCGTCCGTGGCCCAGTGCTCTAACCACAGAGCGACACTGGCCAGGGCTGGCATGAGGATTCTTTTGACCTAAAAGCAATGGGGACCTTGCAGGCTCCAGAGAATCTTCTGCCCCCTGCACTTCACGTGACCCCTGGGAGAGTGTAGACGAAGGGCTTTGCACATGCTGCGCAGGCAGCGGGCTGGCCACACGGGCCCAGTGGTCCTCGGGGCCTGGCTCCTACCTGGGCTGCTCCTCCGGCTTCCTCTGTGCGTCCCGACTGCTCCCGGGTGGCTGTGGGGATCCCGGACTCGGGGCTGACGAGGTCCTCTGAGCCGGGGGAGGGGGAGGGAGAAAGAGAAGTGAGAAAGGAAATCAAGCAGGAATCTATGAAAACAGAAACACATCTCTCTGTGGGCCTCGGACCACAATTCTCACAGGCTCGACCGTCTGTCTGGCCATCCCACTGAGCACACCACGTGGGCAAAGCCGTAAATGGCAGCCACGCCGAGGCAGCCCTGCCTTCCTCTCTCCGAGAAGGAACAGCGGCCCCAGGGGCGGGTCCCTGCGTCAGTGAGGAGCCGGGCGGGGACGCCTCCCCCACCTGGGGGTCCCCCACTCCCTGGCGACAGCGGGGCCATGTCATCTGAGACCCCACAGTGTCCGGTGTGTCCCTGCCACGTGTTTTCCTCCCCCTGCCCCCAACCACTGGTTTTGCTCAGAATTCAGCTGGGAAACTAGGGGGACATGAGGGACGGAGCCCTGGCCAGTTTGGCTCAGTGGATGGGGCGTCGGCCCCTGGACTGAAGGGTCGTGGGTTTGACTCCAGTGAAGGGCGTGGACCTCAGCTGCAGGTCGATCCCTGGACCCAGGAGAGGCCCCGGAAGGAGGAAACCAAGCAATGTGTCTCACACGCCAATGTCTCTGTCTCTCCCTCTCCCTCCCCCCCCCTCTCTCTCTCTCTCTCCTCTCTCTCTCTCTCTCTCTCTCTCTCTTCCCCTTCCCCCTCCCCTCCCGCTCTCTCTGAAAGCCGCTGGAGAAGATGTCCGGTGAGGGCTACGACACAGGCCCCTCCTTGCATGCGTGGCCGGCGTGCCCTCTGTCGTGACTCGAGAACCACAGCAGAGGGAGCCACGTTCTCACACCGGGGCCCAGTTTCTGGAACCGGAACCCCGTCCCTGCGTGGCTGACGGCACACGGGCCTCAGCGGCCAAGCCTCCCGCAGCCAGGCCCCCTCCCGCCCCTCCCGCACCCCTGCAGAGCGTGACCCAGTCATTGGTCAGGCACAGCCCTGCCCTCCAGCCCAAGGTCAGGCCACGTGAAGGTCATCCTGAGGAGACGCTGGCGCCTCCCGACAAGGCAGACAATGGGGGGCGGGCGGATCTCAGCTCTGACTGGGGACACGGGGCCCCAGGCCGGACTTCCTCCGTCACGGGAAGCAGGACATGGGCTCAAGCTTGTCCTTGAGAAGCAATAAGGGCGGCCTCTCCCCCTCCCAAACCTCTCCCCGCCCCCAGCCTCTCCCCTCCCCAGCCCCGCCCCCAGCCTCTCCCCTCCCCAGCCCCGCCCCCAGCCTCTCTCCCTCTCCAGCCCCGCCCCCAGCCTCTCCCCCTCCCCAGCCCCGCCCCCAGCCTCTCTCCCTCCCCAGCCCCGCCCCCAGCCTCCCCCCTCCCCAGCCCCGCCCCCAGCCCCGCCCCCAGCCTCTCCCCCTCCCCAGCCCCGCCCCCAGCCTCTCCCCTCCCCAGCCCCGCCCCAGCCCCGCCCCCAGCCTCTCCCCCTCCCCAGCCCTGCCCCCAGCCTCTCTCCCTCCCCAGCCCCGCCCCCAGCCCCGCCCCAGCCTCTCTCCCCTCCCCAGCCCCGCCCCCAGCCCCGCCCCAGCCTCTCTCCCTCCCCAGCCCCGCCCCCAGCCTCTCTCCCTCTCCAGCCCCGCCCCCAGCCTCTCTCCCTCCCCAGCCCCGCCCCCAGCCCCGCCCCAGCCTCTCTCCCCTCCCCAGCCCCGCCCCCAGCCCCGCCCCAGCCTCTCCCCCTCCCCAGCCCCGCCCCCAGCCCCGCCCCCAGCCTCTCCCCCTCCCCAGCCCCGCCCCCAGCCCCGCCCCCAGCCTCTCCCCTCCCCAGCCCCGCCCCAGCCCCGCCCACAGCCTCTCCCCTCCCCAGCCCCGCCCCCAGCCTCTCCCCTCCCCAGCCCCGCCCCCAGCCTCTCTCCCCTCCCCAGCCCCGCCCCCAGCCCCGCCCCCAGCCTCTCTCCCTCCCCAGCCCCGCCCCCAGCCCCGCCCCCAGCCTCTCCCCTCCCCAGCCCCGCCCCCAGCCTCTCCCCTCCCCAGCCCCGCCCCAGCCTCTCCCCTCCCCAGCCCCGCCCCAGCCTCTCTCCCTCCCCAGCCCCGCCCCCAGCCCCGCCCCAGCCTCTCTCCCCTCCCCAGCCCCGCCCCCAGCCCCGCCCCCAGCCTCTCCCCTCCCCAGCCCCGCCCCAGCCTCTCCCCTCCCCAGCCCCGCCCCCAGCAGGAAGCCAGGGCCGTGGCTGGGGAAGAGGAGAAGCCACAGCCCGGCCCACGGCAGGCGTCCACCTTTCCTTTTTAATGCAAACCCCCCCAATCCTGGTCTGATATTTAATATTTTAGTTCTAATTGTTTTAAGTATGTTTTATTGATTTTTTTACAGAGAGGAAGGGAGAGAGATAGAGAGTCAGAAACATCGATGAGAAACACCTATCAGCTGCCTCCTACATGCCCCCTACTGGAGATGTGCTCACAACCAAGGTACATGCCCTTGACCAGAATCGAACCTGGGACCCTTCAGTCCGCAGGCCGACGCTCTACCCACTGGGCCACACCGGCTAGGGCTTCGTTGAGCTTTTCAGAGTCCAGTGCCGAGTCGCTGTGGGCGAGCAGGCGGGATGCCACGTCCGTCTCCTGTTTCCCGGCGAGAAGCCGGGCGGCGGGGTGGCGGGGTGGCGGTCCCGAGCTCACTCCGCAGGCATAACACCCGTTAGCCAAGGTCACCCCGAAAAACGTGATAACAAGGACACCCAGAGCCTACACCCCGTCATCTGTTAGACCCATAACAGCAAATGGATCACGGTGACCGATCCGTGTGCCA